GTAAGAAATATTTTATTTCTATTTTATGTGTATGAATATATCGACTGCATGTAAGTGCACATGTATTGTGCAATCCTGGTGAAGGTAAGAAGGCAGCGTTGATTCCACTGGAACTGGAGTTATGGATGGTTGTTAGCCTCCATGTAGGTGCTAGAAATTGAACTCAGATCCTCTGTAAGGCAACCAGTGCTCTTGACCACTGAGTCATCGCTCCAGCTCTGTAAGGAATATTCTTGTAATGATTAATTTCTACCAGCCCATTTAAACTTGATATCATGCATAATGCTAGTTTATTAGTCACATACCAAATAAAATTTTGACTAGGAGAATAAACTATTACCAGTAGTCTTTCATTTATTTTTTTTATATTTTTTTGGTCTGTGTGTGTGTGTGTGTTGGTCTGTGTGCTGGTATGGAACTGAGGTCCATGCATATGCTAAGCAAGACCTCCACTATTCAGCTACATCTCCTGGGATTTGAAATGTATAAATATATGCTCTATCAGATATTAAAAATCCATATGCTGTTTTAGTTTTAGACTTTACCTTCTGTTTCACTGGATTATGATTCTGGTCATTGGTGGGATATTGCAGTAGTTTAACTGTAGATGCAGTTGTTTGTTTGTTTGTTTATTTGTTTGTTTGTTAAACATATGCCAGGTGAGTGTTCTGATGCTGAGCCTCTGAATTTTAACCTCTAGCCTCTGAATTTTAGGTTTCAAAGACCCTGAGAGATGAATGATTTTATGCTCAATATAATAGGTTATTACTCATATAACCTGTACTTTACAATTCAAATAAATACAGTTGTATTTGTTTCCTATTGATGCTCTAACAAATATCATAAACTTAATATTTTATTTTTTATATTTGATTTATTTTAGTTTATGTGTATGAGTGTATTGCCTGCATGTATGAAAGTGTGCCACGTGTGTGCAGTGCCCACAGAGGCCAGAGAGGGTGTTGGATCCCTTGGAACTGCAGTTATAAATGGTTGTTAAGCACCATGTGGGTACTAGGAATTGAACCTGGGTCCTCTGGAAGAACAGTTAAGGGTTCTTAACCGCTAAGCCATCTCTCCAGCCCCCATAAACTTAATATTTTAAACAACACATACTATCTTCTAGTTTGAGAGCTCAGAAGTGCTAAAATGAAGATGTCATCAGGGTTGTGGTCTTTCTGGAATATGGGGGGGAGGAGCTTTCTTTTCTAGTTTGTAGAGTCTACCTTCAATCTCTGACTCATGCCCCCTTCCTTCAGCTCCAAGGCCAACACTAGTTTTTGTAGCTCTTTCTGCCTGAGCTCTGCTTCTGTCCTTATGTCTGTTTTCCTTACTCTCCAGTCAACTCTTTTCTATAAATTTTATTTTATTTTTTTGGTCTTTTTGAGACAGGGTCTCCCTGTAGCCCCAGCTGTCCTGGTTTCACCATGGAGACCAGGCTGGCCTCAAACTCACAGAGATCCACCTGCCTCTGCCTCCCGAGTGCTGGGATTAAAGGCGTGCACCACCACGCCCGGCTCTATAAATTTTGAGATGCTTAATGTAACGTGGGCTGTGGAGATAGCTTAGTGGAGAAAGTTCAGAGTCTAGCACCCATATTCAAAAACAAGCACAGTGGCACACTGATCCCAGTGCTGGGGAGACAGAGACAAGAGAGCACTGGGGCTTGTTTGCCAGCCAGTCTAGCCACTTGGTGAGCTCCAGTTTCAGTGAGAAACCCTCTCTCAAAAAATCAGTTGAAGAGATGAGGAAGATATCCTGTGTCAGTCAACCCCTGGAGAGCAATCTAGTAACACAGACCTCTGTTCTTCACACATGTGCGCATCTATCATCTTAAACTATGTTAAAGTTTACACATAATCTTAATAATTTTGGTATATTGACATTTTGTGCAATCCATACCACTAGTTAACAGAACTGCCGTGTATTGAGTACCTTTGTGTGCTGGGTCAGTTGCCAGGGGTTTTTTTGTGAATTGGATTGCTCATTTTGCCAGTATGGACTTAACAGAACTGTGAGGTAGAACTTCCTACCTTGAGGAGATACAAGGTCCTGACTTCTGGGTTTATGTTGTGTACTATAATGTTTTCTGCTTAAGAGATCAGAAAATTACTAAGTGCTTCTAATAAAGGTAAATAAATGGCAAAGCGCCCAATATTTCATTTCCTGTGCATTTAATGTGACGGTATATAGTCACAGAAAGACTTGCACTTGAATGTTTATAACAGGATTCTTCATAATGCCCTCAAAACTGGAAGCAGTTTAAATGCCCTTTAACTGATGACTAGATAAGCAAATTAAGAATTATTCATAGACTCAACAGAGTGGATGAAGTTTAGGCATGTGCCAGTAGGGGTGTATTTAACACTCCTGATCCAAACACTAAAAATGATTATAATAAATATTTTTCATATATGCCACTATTTAAAAAGTACTATATAATATGTTCCTCTTTTGTGAAAATGTAGATGAGGCAAAAGCATCTGTAGTGGTGGTTAGTGGTCAGATGAGGATCGATTGAAAAGAGCATAAGTAAAGTTTTGGGAGTGATGGATGTTTTAAAGGTACTGGTACTTATGTAACTTAGGTTAGAATATACTGAATTGCTCCCTTAAAATTATTTGCAAACTGTAATTGAAGACAATAAACAAGAAAGAGAAGAAAACTGCTAGGTATTTGAGGGCTTTAAAAGTCTGTCTCCTCTAAATTGTTATAGGATGTTGCTGTACTGTTTCCTAAAGCTTATGTACTGATCTGGAGCTAGGCTGTCCAGTGGGTAAATATCTGGGTCCTCATTTCAGCCCTTAGTGGCTTGCACAAATATGCTTGGTAACCACAGACAGTATGTAGTGTGGGTACATAGGGGCCACAAAGTTAATTAAAACTTGTCTTAATGAGACAATCACAGCACTGTTCCCAAAGGCAGAAGAGAGGAGGCTGTACTCATTCCTAGAAATGACTTTGGTTCTCTGACTACCAGCAGGGATGGCTCAGTTACGATATTCTGCTACACCTTTGGTGCCATCTTGTTCGTCCCTGTAGACTTCTAAGCACTGTAGGGTAATGCAAGTGCCATGTCCATGTCTTTTCACCTTGGCCTCTCCCTGAGAGGATTCTGTGACCCTCCCCTCACCCTAGCAGTTGATAAAATTATTCTCTTCTCTTCAACTTCCTCTTCTCTTAGTCTCTGGGGCTGCTTCTCTCTGGTGATTTTTCTCCTACTGCAGAGACGATTTCCTTCCTTCTCTGGCTGTCTTTCTCCTTAGGTCTTGAGAACACAGCCTATAGCCCCATCATCTCCAGGCTTGCCCCTCAAGGACATCTCTTCCCTTCCTGTAAACACTGCTGTGCCTCACTTCTGCTAAGCCCTGGCTCTTTGTTTTGGCTCCCTCCCAGGTGTTATCATTCTTTTAACTTGGCATTGACCAGGCTGAGCTTTCTCCCTGTGTTTATCCCCTTATCCAGTTCTCTGTCACACTGTTGTCCTTTTCTTGCCCTCTTTTTCCTAGGCTTCTTCTCTTGGTTCCTTTGTTCCCTATGGGCTGCCTCCTCTCCTTTCTGTGTTTTTAGTATATTTTAATATGGGTCCTTGTTGGAAGAGTCACATGACACCTATAAGACATTCTTGATTGAGAACCATAGGTCAGGGTGGCAAAGATTTCACAGTTGGGGAGCCATTCAGTCACCAAATCTGTGTCTCAGAACCCCATTGAATGACAGAGTCCCAGACTCTGGGCTAGACTGTGCTCTTGGAGTGTGTTCCCGTTAGGAATCTTGGCTGAAAGCTCGAGCTTTCTTTTGTGTGCAGTCACTCTTGCTGCCATAGTCTTTACCTTTCCAATCACAATTTTGCCATTTTGTGAATATTTGCCCCTACAGAGTCCTGGTTTTTGTAATTCGGTGGTACCTTACAATTACTTAAGGCTGGCTACCCGTCTTCTCCCCACTGTGCTGCCTTGCTAATCTTGCAACAGAAAAGCAGAAACAAAGTGCCTGGTGTTAGAGATCTTCATGTACTATATTGCCCATTCATCACTGAATATTTTTCTGTTTTTACTCCTTATGTTTTCCTGTGGTTTTACTCTGGAGTTAAAAAGTTTTGTTCTTAAGTCATGTATACTCCCCAAATGACTTGCGTCATTTGATACCTTTGTAGGAAAAGTTGCTTTGTAGTCTTGATTGCATAAGCAAATGTATGAAAATTTTAACAAAAGAAGAAAAATTGAAGTATAATTTAGACTGTCCACACCTCCCTCTCCCTCTCCCCCTTTCCCATCTGTCCCCTCTCTCTTCTTCCTCTTTGCCCTCTCTCCCTTCCCCTATCACCTCTCCTTCCCTCTTCCTCTCTCTCCCTCCCCTCCCCTCCTTCTTATTCTTCCTTTCCCCTCTCCCTCTCCCCGTCAGTCCTTTCCCCCTTGTTCCTCTTAACCCCCCATCCCACTCCCCTTCTGGGATTGAACCCAGGACCTTTTTTGAGCTATAGTCCTAAACTCATTGTTCTTTCTTAAAAAGTGAGCTGAATGAAGCCTGGATTTCATAGAATTTAATTCTTTCATCAGACACATGGTATTTACACTTATGAAAAATGATGATTATGAAATACCTGCTTTAGAAATGGAAGGTTTAGGGCTAAGAATGTGGCTCAGTTAATAGAGTGCTTGCCGAGCATGCATAAGGCCCTAAGTTTGATTCTATATTGCCACACAAACAAAAAGTAGAAAGTTGATGAATTGTTTCAGTGAATAAGGTATGATAAAATGCTTTGTTTTGGTTATCCTTATATCAGAGAAATTTAAAGAGCATCTTTAACTAGTAGACATATTTAACTGTTTTAAAATAAAATTTTAGTATTTCTTTGCAATAAAAGTAAATAGCAAGAAAAATGGGAGCAATTGTCAAATTTGGAATGAAGTGGCTAGAAACCTAGAGGTGTTAATTTTTCTGACCCATAATACAATGCTGGCTTTATTGACCTTTCTTTTTCTCTTTGGGCCTTCTAGAGGGGTGTTTGATGCTTCCCTCAAAATGGCTGGCTTCTATGGATTGTACACCTGGCTGACTCACACTATATTTGGCATCAATATTGTCTTCATACCATCAGGTAACAAGCATATCCACACATCCTTTCCATCTAGTTAAGTTAGACCTTGTGGCTTGAGATCTACTCTAGATTAGCATGTTTACAGTGAGTTTTTCTGTAGCTCCAGTAGCTGGAACCATACTCAGCACAGAGAAAGTAAAGCATAGGTGTTTGTTGAGTGAGTAAATGTCTTGGCATGTAGCATAACACTTGGCACATAATTGGCACTCAATAAATGAGCTGAGCTAATTAGCAGGGAGCAGTGTGCTGTCTAATAGCTTTGTCCCTATGAGGCATGCCGTCCAGGGCAGATGAGTGTGCTGAGAGATATAAGTGAAGCCTGCATCTGCTGTGACTGTTCTGACAGCAGCACCCTCATTCAACAGGACCAGACGAGCAGATGAGCAGCTTGGATTTTCCCCTTCATTGTTTCTGCCCCTCTCCTTCTATTTCTTATTTCTGTCATTGCTTGTATCCCTGAATATCCCTGCCTTCCACATTCCCCTCTGCCCTCTCTCTGCTGCTTCATCTGTTGCCCCTTCTTTGCATTCCCAAGTTCATTCATGTTCTTTCCCACTTAGCTATCTAGTATGCCCACTCTGATATGCAAGCACCCCGAGAACACATGGAGTTATTCTTGTATAATCCTCCTTTGAGGCAAGCAGGCAGTCAGGTAGGCTGTTGCTGTATAGATGAGAAACCAATGTTTTTCAAGGTCACCCACATAGTTAATGGTTGGACCAGAGCAAGAGTTGGCATCTTCCTGACTCTTAGTCAGAAGGGAGCCCAGTGGAGGGAGAGTGCTTAGATGTACTGCTCTGGAACTGGGTGAGCTTGAAGTAAGGGACTTCCGCTTACAAGGTTTCTGTTTACTGATAGTTACATTTAATTTTATGAGCAGCAAAGTAAAGAATATGCATTCATATCTGAGATTTAGAAATTAATTTTTGATTTGGCTTTGGGGTCAGGAAAGTCTGGAAAATGTTCTGTAGTTATAGGACTGAATAAAGCTACAGGACAATAGGATCTTAAACAAATAGTTATTATATTTATTTTATGTGTATGAGTGTATTGCCTGCATGGTATGTTAGTGCACCCATGTCGTGCAGTGTCATGGAGGTCAGAAGAGGGCTTCGGATTCCCCTGGAACTGGAGTTAAGGATGGTTTGTAGCTGCCATGTGGGTGCTGGGAATCAAACCCAGGTCCTCTGCAAGAGCAGTCAGTGCTCTCAACCGTTGAGCCATCTCTCCAGCTCTGACAATAGGATTTTACACTTAATAGACCCATGAAGCATATGCACTTCTTATGAAGGTTTTCAACAATAACTTTGAAGTTTAGAAGATTCAGTCAAGTTATATCAGTCCTCTAAAACTAAGTTTCCATTTGTGTGCTTGTTGGGGTAGGGATGGATATTTTTAGGTAGGAGGAAGTAGCAGTTGGGTTCTTTTCTCCTGTTACTGTTTTGCTGATGACAGTGAGTTTCTTTTCTTCCCCTCTTTTATTAGCTTTAGCAGCAATCCTTGGAGCGGTGCCGTTTCTGGGAACATACTGGGCAGCAGTACCTGCAGTTCTGGACCTGTGGCTGACACAAGGTTTAGGATGCAAGGCCGTCTTACTGCTGGTCTTTCATCTCTTGCCAACATACTTTGTAGACACTGCAATCTACTCTGATATATCAGGGTATGTATTCTGAAGTTCCTGGTGAACATAGAGCATTTTTATTGCTTTTTTAAAACTATTTTGCTTTGGGAGGGGTTTGGGGACAAGAACTAGAGGCAGAATATTTCATTAAGGCAGCCTTTTGTGTGATTCCTTTGATATAGTGAAATTTGGTATACATTGTTCATAAAGTATGATAGTTTGTTATTTTGTAAGTATTTATGACTTAAGACCCCAGGTTAAGAAAAAATTATGCATGATTTTGTTTTGATTTTATGACATTTTATCTAGAAAAGAAATATTAGCAGGTATACATAAATTATTTTCATCACAGTAAAGAGTTAGTGGTCATTTCAGTACACCTTTACTTTTGGAGAAAACAGTGATGAGATTGTATGTGTGTAGATTTCCATGTAAAAAAAAATCTCAGCAGCTGCTAATGTCTGGCCAGTAGTGCTCTCTTCAGGTACCACGGTTCAGTGATGAGCACAGGTTAAACCTGAACCTGAATCAAAACCTTGACCATAGGTGTGATAAATACCTATTTTTTGTAGCTTTTGAAAGAAATTACATTAAGTACCCAGTTGCCACTCAGGCATATATCCATATTGACAGTGTTTATTAGAATCTATATTCCACTCAGGTAGATTTCCATCTGATACTTAAATTGTAGAATGTGAATGTGTGCAGCACAGGCAGACTGCCAACTTGAAATTCTCCTGTCTCTGCTTCCTAAGAGCTGGAATTGGAGGTGGGGCTCATACCTGGCTTCATTCAATGTTCTGTCAGTAAACTGAAGGTAAACAGTAGACAGGGTTATGATTTCTAGAAGTAGTAGTCCTCAGTAATTTAAATTTTGTAAAAGTTATGTGGCACCTTGATTCTTTTCAAGTAAATTGAAAGTAGAAAACAGTGTAGAACAGCTAAGCATCCTCAGTGAATCAGAGCAAAATAAAATAAGCAACTTCCTGTTTCATCCTACAAAGGAATTTATATGCCTAAAACTTGAGAGAGAAAAGTAAAATTGCCAAAAATTGTTACCTATGGTCTGTGATCCCAATATTTAGGAGACTGAGTTAGGAGGATTGCAAGTGGGCGGCCTAGCAGAGCTACATAGCAAGATCCTATCTCAACATTAAAAACAAAACAAAGCTCTGGAGAGATGGCTCAATGGTTAAAAGCACTGACTGCTCTTGTAGAGGACCTAGGTTCAAATCCCAGCACCCACATGTTGTCTAACAACCATCTGTAACTCAGTTCCAGGGAGATCTGATGCTCTCTTCTGACCTCTGAGGGCATTGCATGATAGGGGTGCACTTACATACCTGCAGGCAATACACTCATACACATAAAAATAATAAACAAATAAATATTAAAGAAAAAAAAAAAACAACCCTGGGGCTGAAGAGATGACTCCATGGCTAAGTGCACTTGCTATTCTTGCAGAGGACCCCAGGACCTCACAACTCAAAACCTGTAACTCTAGTTCCAGAGGAACCAGAATCCTTCTGGCCTCTAAGGGCTCCTACGTACCCATGGCATACATTCATACAAACACACACACACAAACTAAATCTTAAAAAAATAAAAATAAAGCCATGTCTGGTGGTACATACCTGTGATCTTAGCACTTGAGAAGCATAGGCAGGAAGATCACTGAAAGTTCAAAGATGTATCTACACAACAGGTTCCAGGCCAACCAGGATTACATAGTGAGAACCTATTTCACAAATAATACAGAAGCAAAAACACTTGACTCAGATGTAGCTTAGTTGGCAGAGTGCTTGCCTAGCATGCATGAAGTCCTGGGTTTGACCCTTAGCACCACATAAACCAACTGGGCAAAACGATTCATACCTGTAATCCCAGTATTCAGGAGGTGGAGTCAGGAAGATCAGGGTTGTCCTTGACGTCATATTAAGTCGGAGGCCAGGATGGGCCACAGGAGACCCTGCCTGCCTACAAACCAACCAACCAACCAAAAAAGCCCCAGTAATGTGGCCAACGGATATTTTTTTGTTTGTTTGCTTTCATTTTGTTTTTTGTTTCTTTTGTATTATTTTTATTTTGTGTATGAATTTTTTGCCTGAATGTACGTAAGTGTACTGCATGTGTGCAGTGCCTATGGAGAACAGAAGAGAGGCATTGAATCCCATGAAACGAGCTGTGGATGGTTGTTAACTATCATATAGGCTGGGAACAGAACCTAGGTCCTCTGCAGGAGCAGCCAGTGCTCTTAACTGCAGAGCCATCTCTCCAGCCCCCAAATTGATGTTTAATAATTGAAGTTTAGACAGTGGGAATACGAATGTGATTTATATTTATGTACTTTTATTTATTTAGACTTTACTTTAGCTGAGTGTGGTGTGGTGGTACACCCCTTTTATCGCAGCACTTGGGAGGCAGAGCCAGGTGGATCTCTCTAAGATCAAGACTAACCTGGTCTACATACAGGGAGACCCTGTCTCAAAAAAAATTTTTTTATTAAGGGTTATAGTTAGAATTTAAGATTTATATGTGATTTTCTCATAATAAATACTTTATTGAATCACTGTAGTTAGGAAATGAAAAGGTCAGTATAAATTATATTTTTAATTAATCTTTTACTGAAAAGCCCCCTCCCCCACTTTTTTATTTTTTGTTTTTGTTTCATTTTTTGTTTTTTGAGACAGGGTCTCAGTATGTAGTCCCAGCTGGCCTGGAAATCGCTGTGTAGACAGGCTGGCTTTGATCTCATAGAGATGCATTTGCCTTTGCCTTCTCAGTGCTCGGATTAAAGGCATGCATCATGTGCTAGGCAAAAAAAGCCCCCATACTTTTTTAAGCTTTAAGAATTTTTTAATAGAACTTTTCTTCAAATGTTTTATTTAAGGAAAAAATTAGACATGTATGGACTACTGTTGTAACCTTTTTGGAAAAAGGAAGAGAAGTAAATTATGAATGTCATATGTTTACTTCCTGAAGACTGGCTCACCACAGTGTTAGTTATTAAACTGTAATGTATTATAAAACATCCTTCCCGCATATTTATTTACCCTCATTAAAATGTTCCATTCATCTGTGTTATTTAAAACTAGAAACAAGTGGAACATGGCTTATTTCTTCATCCTGCTTACGTCAATAATTACGTCTTATCTGTATGCTGTGCTGCTATAATCTCTCTCTCTCTCCATTCTGGCTGTGTAAATGATGCCGTGATAAGCTGCAGTTATGACTCTTGTGAAATAAAAGTCTTGGGCTGTTGACATATATCTCCCTTATGTGGCCTTCTGTCACTGCCTAGAAGGTTGCCAGAGGTCTAAACCATGAATAGGACTACTCTTGTTATTTATAAAACCATAATTACTGTTTTATAAAAGCATAACTAACTGAATCACATGCTAATTGTACTCACTGTCCATAATGGAAGTTAACCTAGCAGGTGATTTAGGTAAATAGTCTTAAGCCAGCATTAATCTTCTTCAGAAAGCCACATGTAATGGGTACAAAATACCTGTTAACAGTGATGGTTTTGTTATTTAGTTGCTAGCACTGTAAAAGGAGGCTAGAAAATCCTTGTATTTCAATATTATTATGTTCTTTATTCTGCATTGAAGTAATCTAAGGAAGGCTGGAAATGGAATTAAACCTGACATATTAAGGACAAACATTGTGCTAAAGGAGTTTCACATTTACTCCAAATTTGATATCTGTTAAAAGCCACACATGACTTGGTGTGTTCTTTGTTGCAGAGGTGGTCATCCTTACCTGACAGGCTTGGCAGTGGCTGGTGGAGCGTACTACCTGGGCCTGGAAGGAGCAATCATTGGGCCCATACTTCTCTGCATACTTGTGGTTGCTTCCAATATCTACAGTGCCATGCTAGTGAGCCCCACGAATTCAGTGCCTACACCAAACCAGACCCCTTGGCCTGCTCAGACTCAGCGGTGAGTTCAGCATAATGACTATAAGCAAGGGACTGTCCTGTCTCTGTTTTCAGCAAACAACTGCATCTAGACTTGTCAGGATAAAGGTATCTGAGTTATCCATGGAGATCCACAGATCTCCATTGTTCTACGAGGTTTCTCAATACTTCTCTCAGAACCCCCTGCTGCTCAATACTCTGAGTACAGTTACTTCAGATTAGTTTTGTCCAGTATAGCCTAAAATATACTATGTACTATTGAGGCAGACCTTGATTTGTTCAACTTTAAAAAAAAATTTATGTGTATGAGTGTTATACCTGCATGTATGTAAGTACACTCATGTCTTGCAGAGCCTTCAGAGGACAGGAGAGAGAATTGGATTCTCTGGAACTGGAGTTACAGATGGTTGTTCACTGCAATGTGGGTGCTGGGATTTGGATCCAGATGTTTTGCAAGAATAGCCAGTGCTCTTAACCTCTGAGCCATCTCTCTAGCCTCTTGTTCAACGTTTTTATCTGTGAGATTCACCCGTGTCATTGTATTTTTTTAACATCCATTTTTTGTTGTCTGGTATACCACTGAGTATATCAGACTTCAATTCCAGTATTGACAGGCACTGGATAGTTTCCATTCTTTTGGCTGTTAAGAATCAAGATGCTGTTAGCTTTCTAGTACACATGCCTTTGGTGGTCATGAGTAGCTATTTCAGTTGATCGTATGCCTAGAATGGAATGTCTGCCATGTATCATATTGAATGCTAGCTTGCATAGTAAGTCAGTCAAGCATGCTAGCTCAACATTTGGGAGGCAGAGACAGGAGAATCACAGTTCCAGTACTCTGACAGTTTGGGCTATGTAGTGATAGTGTCTCAAAAAATAAAGGACAACAATAATTAAAAAACGCTTGCAAAATAGATTTTCTATGTGAGGTATAAGGAATTATAGACTAGGGGCTGAAGAGATGGCTCAGCGGTTAAGAACACTGGTTTTTCTTGCAAAAGATGTGGGTTTGAATCCCAGCACCCACATGGCAGCTAACAACTGTCTGTAACTCCGGTTCCAGGGGATCCAACGGCCTCTTCTGTCCTCCTCGGTCATTGCATGACACGGGTGCACTTACCTACATGCGGGCAATACACAAATACACATAAAATAAAAATAATAAAATATATACAAAAAAGAAACTATAGTGAAATTGAGGCGTCATTGACAAGTTGGTTGTGTTAATCAAACTCTTACAGTTTTATGTAAAAATCTTTCTTTTTTTTTTTTTGGTCTTTTTGAGACAGGGTCTCCCTGTAGCCCCAGCTGTCCTGGAACTCACTATGTAGACCAGGCTGGCCTTGAACTCACAGAGATCCGCCTGCCTCTGCCTCCCGAGTGCTGGGATTAAAGGCATGCACCACCACGCCTGGCCTATAAAAATCTTTTAAAACATTCTGTTAGAGCTGGTTGGTTACAAGGCCATTCATGATAATGCACTACTCTTGATGGCAAGGATAAGTCAGCTTCCTCAAAGAACAGATGTAGTGGCTTAAGTCACTGAGGGAAGCCTCGTCGTTTGGGGTCAGCAACACTAGGACTACAGTATCCTTTTTTGCCCTTTTGCTTTTTGAGATAGGGCCAAGCTAACTTTGAATTCAACTTCCTGAGTGTTGGGATTAGAGGTATGCAGCACCATACCAGTTTGCCCTTTCCTCCTTGTGTACCTGCAGAATGAAGGGATAGTTTCTTCATAGAGGAGGGGTAGAGGAAGGGAGGCGGGCGGGCTTGCTAAACTGATAGCCTACCCCTTGGGTTCATCAGTCAAAAACCACAAACTGGTTAACATTTTGTTGTTACTTGGGAGAGGAAACTTTTACTGATTTTGTTGGGTTTTGTTTTGTTTTTTTTGAGACAGGGTCTTCTGTAATCTCAGTTGGCCTAGAACTCACTGAGTTGACCAGGCTGGCCTCAATCTCAGAATATACCTGCCCCTGCCTCCTGAATGCTGGGATTTTTTTTTTTTTTTAATTAAATGAGGAGGACAGGAGTTTTTTTTGTTGTTGATGTTGTTGTTGTTGGTTTTTTTGGTCTTTTTGAGACAGGGTCTCCCTGTAGTCCCAGCTGTCCTGGAACTCACTACGTAGACCAGGCTGGCCTTGAACTCATAGAGATCTGCCTGCTTCTGTCTCCTGAGTGCTAGGATTAAAGGCATGTGCCACCATGCCCTGCAAGAGTTACTTTTTAAAGATGAGCTGAAAGATACCAATGTGTATTATTTTGGAGGCAGAAGACCTCTTTCACCCCTCCTCCTAAAAGTAGAAATGCATAGTCAGCTGTTGTCAGGGTCTTGGGGAAGACCGAGGACTGATGAACAGCAGTCATCTTCCCTTCAGGCATGCGTGTGGACAAGAGCCATCAAGTGATTATGAAAAATAAGAGCTTTTGTGAAAGCTCCTCCTCATCTTCTCAAAAAGAAGCGCTTTTTGACTCTCCGCCATACCTGAGATAACATAATTACATGGAGGTGTTGGTAATGTGTAGGCATCATCTCTGAGCACCTCCCACTTGGAAGACGAGCAGCTCTCTCACCTTTCCTTCTCCCCTTGCAGCTCACCTGTGGTTTCAGGTAGATCACTGTCCAACTAAATATTCATTACCAGTCTGTAAACTGTGTTCACAGTCAAGTCCTCCTGTCTTGTCTGCCCTTCTTTACCTATATAAGGTTTGCTTTCTCTTGAGAATAGAGACACTGTTTGCATTGTTTTCTATATTCTTACAACTGCCCCAACCCTAGGCCTGTCCTGGCTGTCTTTGTTTAGTCACTTTTTATGTTTTGTCTTCAGGAAGAAGCCTGCTTGAGTCTTCTGATAGTGCAGATGCTGTCCTTTCCCCTGCCAGCCATCTTCCTAGGGCTTCTCTCATCTTTTCCATTTAGAATTTTTATTTCTCACATGTCCTACAATTTTCTTTCTTGATTTTATTTCCTTTTAGTGAAGTACATTGTCCTCTTATAGGTTTGAGGGGAAATAAATTCAGAAAAGGTAGGTTTGAGGGGGTGATGCATATCTGAGAAGGCTTTTCCTGATGGCAGACTTATTTGATATCTTGCCTGTAATGAATTCCTTTTGAGATTTCTTTCTGTTAATTTCTTTTTAAAAAATATTTTATTTATTATTTTATGTGTATTGCCTGCATGTAGGCAAGTGCACCCGTGTCGTACAATGCCCGCAGAGGACAGAAGAGGCTGTTGGATACCCTGGAACTGGAGTTACGGACAGTTGTTAGCTGCCGTGTGGGTGCTGGGATTCGAACCAGGGTTCTTATGCAAGAACAACCAGTGTTCTTAACTGCTAAGCCATCTCTCCAGCCCCACATGGAGAGGATTTTGATGTACACAGGATCCTTCAATAGGAGCATCTAACAGTTATTTGGAGCTGTGTCCCATTAAGGACTCGGGCTATT